AAACAGCACTCTGGCCTCAGAATCAGCCCTATTGGCATTCCGATCTGGCTGAAGAGCCCAAGAGAATATTTTAGGCATAGAAAGCCAAGACACTCTGGAAAAAGAAAAAAAAAAAAAAACTAAATGAAAGATCTTCGCGAGTGAGATCCCAGTGAAAAGAACAGGTCATCAAAGAAGGAGGTACCTTTCTCTGACGGGAGGAGAGAACTTCCACTCTGACTACGACCTTGTCTAAATATGATCAGAGCTGGTGCACTGAAAAGGCCTTGGCAACTCATGACAAGAGCCTAGGGTGATTACTGATGCCATAAACAGGAGTGTAAATTTGTTAAGTCAGCAACAGGAGTCACTGTGCACTTACTCTTCATGTAGGATCTCTGTGCTTAATGTGCTGTACATTGTGATTTAATGCTATAACTAGTACTCAAACAGTATTTTTCACTTTGTGTTTCTAAGGGGGTTCAAACTGTTGAAATCTTTACTTAATATATGCTAAACTGATCTTCTGTATATAAAGACAATTGAAAATGAATCTTGATGTGAATGGAAGGGGGGAGGGAGAGGGAAAGGGGAGGGTTGCGGATGGGAGGGAAGTTATGGGGTGGGGGGAAGCCATTGTAATTCATAAGCTGTACTTTGGAAATTTATATTCATTAAATAAAAGTTAAAAAAAAAAGAAAATTAGTTCTTGGGGAAAATGTAACTACATCAGTGAAATCTAATAACATGTAAGTAAGAAGTTACATCAGTGTTACACAGAACCTCACAGAGAGGAATGCAGAGGATCCTGCCACACTGTGCTCAGGGAAGCACACTTCCCTGATACGGGTCACGGGGGCAGTCCTGTCTCTGCTAAGCAGGCTAGGTGAGGGCACACCTACCAATGGAATGGGGCAGCAGAAGGCAGCAGGTGGGTCTTCTGTACTGGAAAGGAATGCTGATTTCCGGAGCGCGACACTATGATCAAAACTCTAGATACATGTGCCATAGGTCCAGATGTACTGCCAGATAAGGATCACCTGGACGTCCCTTGTCACGGAACATAAAGCCCAGTTTTCTAATGAACTTTCATTAATCATTATTATGCCTACGTGCTTTCCTGTGTGTATATTTGTTTGTACCCAAAAATAAAAAGTGCTCGCTGGGTCTACTGATGGTGCTCTCCTGCGGAAGACTCCCATGTCCTGTCTCATCATTATTGAGGAACTTTTCAACTCATCCCCTGAGCCAACATTTCAAGAAAAGAAAATCTAAGGCCAGTCTTGCTCAGGAGTGTAGATGCAAATTACAACTTCTGCTAGCTTACTAAAGGTAATAATGAAGAAAAAGATAATTTTTTATGGCCAATCTTGTTTATTTCGTAGATGGGAGAGTCTCACTCCATTTGAAATTAAATTGCGTATGCTTAACTGTGACAGAACAATAAAGAAAAATCAGGAGGCTTTCTAAATGTTGTCTAATTATATTCCATATTTATTCATAAAAACTTCTAACAAGCTTAGAGTAGAAAGGTAGGTGCTTTTTTTAAAGTTATTTAACAAAATCCTAAATCTAATTTTAGCACATTTATTCAATATTATACAGCAATATATTAAGACAAGAAAACTAATAAATATCAGAATGTGAACTGAATAATTCTTAGTGTCTGCACAGTAAATTACTTGTATATAGATGTAAAACCAGTATAAAATCTATTAGAATTGATATGACAATAATAAGAACTTTAGAAACAAAGTCATTAAGAGAGTCACTTGTATTTTCATATGCCAGCAGTATAAATAAATGAGAAATTAGATAAAAATCATAGTTATTAGCAACATAAAGTCATCAAATTTGTAATAATAATTCTAAAAAATATGTTAAACAAACCAATACAGTTATTCTAAAAACATCATCAAAAATAAATATACAAATGTTAGGCTTAATCTCATGATATGGTTACTTCTAGAAATAAAAGTATATATTAACTGCTTGATATGGTTTAGCATAACAAATGAATACAAAAAAAGTATTGAGAAGATATAAATTATTCTCAAATTGACCTACAAATTAATGCAATCCCAACTCAAATCTCAACATTTTTTTTCTGCTGGTATTAACTTGCCAACTGCCAAATTTGTAAATATATGCAAATGGTGAAATATACCAAAGATGATCTTGAAATGAGGAACATGTTTGGAAGAATTACAATATCTATGCATTATCCCTCTTAGTAGTTTTTTTTTTTGTCTGTTCTACTTAGTATGACTGGTTTAATTCTGTAATTAATACACAGTTATTCTTAAGTGTTGAAATTTAACTGAAATGTGATCCCTGTTAAACATAAGAGTGGGGATAAGAGAGGGAAGAGATGTACAATTTGGGACATGCTCAAGCTGACTTGCCCCAAATGGTAGAGTTAGAAACATACCAGGGGACTCCAATTTAATCCCATCAAGGTGGCATGTACCAATGCCATTTCACTATTCCAAGTGATCAATTTCAGTTCACAATTGATCATAATGAAAGGACTAAGAGTCAAAGGGAGCACATAAACAAGTCTAGTACCTGCTAACACTAACCGATAGAATAAATAAAGGGGAGAGTGATCCAACATGGGAAGTGAGATACTCAGCAGACTCATAGAATGGCAGATGTCCTAAATAGCACTCTGGCCTCAGAATCAGCCCTAAAGGCATTCGGATCTGGCTGAAAAGCCCATGAGAGTATTTCAGGCATGGAAAGCCAAGACAATCTGGCAAAACAAACAAACAAACAAACAAAAAAAAAAAAACAAAAAACCACCACCACCACCAACAACAACAACTAAATGAAAGATCTCTGTGAGTGAGATCCCAGTGGAAAGAACAGGTCTTCAAAGAAGGAGATACCTTTCTCTGAAGGGAGGAGAGAACCTCCACTTTGACTATGACCTTGTCTAAACAAGATAAGAGTCAGAGAACTCAAGGGGCTTCCATAGCCTTGGAAACTCATGACTGGTGCATAGGGAGATTACTGATGCCATAGACAGGAGTGTCAATTGGTAAAGTCAACAACAGGAGTCACTGTGCACTTACTCCTCATGTAGGATCTCTGTCCTTAATGTGTTGTACATTGAGACTTAATGCTATAACGAGTACTCAAACAGTATATTTCACTTTGTGTTTCTATGGGGGTGCAAACTGTTGAAATCTTTACTTAATGCATACTAAACTGATCTTAAGAAAAAAAAAAAAAAAAGAAATTATCAACTCCCAACTTGACTTTCACTGGGATTAAACATGACAATAGGTCTGATCTGATTTCATCATCATATAAAAAATCATCTATTATTTTTCACTTTATGTTTCTGTGTGTGAGCAAACTGTTAAAATCTTTACTTAATGTATGCTAAACTGATCTTCTGTATATAAAGAGAATCGAAAATGAATCTTGATGTGAATGGAAGGGGAGAGGAAGTGGGAAAGGGGAGGGTTGCGGGTGGGAGGGAAGTTATGGGGTGGGGGGAAGCCATTGTAATCCATAAGCCGTACTTTGGAAATTTATATTCATTAAATAAAAGTAAAAAAAAAATTAAAAAAAAAGAAAAATAAATCTGGTTAAAATACATAAAAAAAACAGGTTACACTGTAAATTTAGTCATGAAGACATTGTAAAACTCATACAAAACAAATAAAAGGTTTGAAAGGGACTGAGTCTTGCATAAATACAACAAAATACCAAGAGGCTGAAGATCTGCATAATCTCAGGATAGATTTTTTTTTCTTAAATCAGAAAAACTGATTAAACCGTTAAGAAAACATTGAAAAGTTGGTCAAGATTAAAAAATTTTTACGCTGGGAAGGACATTGTGGTGCAGTGTTTTAGGCTTGGGACTTGCTTAACACTGGGACACCAACATGCCACATTTAATGTTGGTTCCAATGTTTCTCTGTTTTCCTCCCGGCTTCCTGCTAACATGCCTGAGATGCAGTAGATGATGGCTTAAGTGTTTGCATCCCCGCAGCCCATGTAAGAGACTATGATGGAGCTCCTGTCTCCTGGCTTTAATATGGCACAGCCATGGCTGCTTGTGGGCATTTGGAGAGTGAACAGGTGGATCTCTCTCTCTCTCTCTCTCTCTCTCACTCTCGCTCTCTCTCTCTCTTTCTCATCTTATCTCTCTTCTTCTCTCCCTTCTCTGCTCACCACATTCCCTCTGCCTTTTAAAAAATACATAATAAATAAACCTTAAATTTTCTCTTCCCGTTTTTTTTTCTTACATTAAAACCTTATTAAGTAGTAACCTGTTAAACATAAACTAAGAGAACTTAATACTTCAGACCCTTTTTTTTTTTTATTTGGTGGTGAGAGTTTAACAAATCTGGCTCAGAATTTTACCACCTTACTCATGTAACTACCTTGTACAGTCATCCCTCAATATCTGCAGGTTCTGTGTCTGTGAATTCAACTAACCTCATTGGAAAATATTGAGAAAGAAAATTGTACCTCTACTAGAAGAACATGTGCAGACCCTTTGTTTTTCATTATTATAATATAGCAAATATTTAAATAGCTTTTACATTGTATTAGGTGTTATGTGTGATTGATCTAGAGATGGCTTGAAGTAAACATGAAGATGTGGATAGGTTATATGCAAGTACAACACCATTTTATATAGGATATTTCAATAGATTTTTGTATCTGCAGGGATCCTGGAACCAATCCCCAACAGATGCTGAGGGGTGACTACATATGTCATCTGGAATCCAAGAACAGACAGACATTTATTGCATGTTGCATTCAATAAAATTGAATAGTCATAAAAAACAGCTTTACTATGAACTAACTATAAGAAAATGCTATGATCTTCCTCCTGGAAAAGGTGTACATACAGCCATCTTTTCATCTATTTCTCTACTTAGATGGATTTTATATGCACTGCAAATAAAAATGAAAGACTCATTTGCTGAGATGTTTTGGAAAAACGGGAAATGAATACTGGAGGTAAAAATATCTATCACAGAGAGTGGTCATCTTACATGTCATTGAACTTCGGCTTTGCAACGTCAACCGCGGCTCGATGGGCATCCCACATATATTTGATCACTGTAGTATCATCTCTGTTGATAATGGGAATAGTTCCAACCTTGGATAGGGTCATCCTTGACTGCATATACTACAGAATAAATAATGTGTTTTATGTAAATAGAAGAACCCAACATGTAATTAAAATAAATTTAATCACAATTCCCATCGATTTCTAAAATATGTTTCTGTGAAATAGATTTATTTTCAGAATCGATTACTGCATTGAATAGGACATTCTGCTTTTATTTACTTTACGAAGATTTGTGCTAATTTACTTTCATATGTGAGCATGATTTGGTAATTATTATTAGCAATTATACTGAAAAAACATGATACATGAAATTATATTAATTTTCTATTAATCATCCACTCAGTGGTATTTCAGGACATTAAAAAGAATAATTCCAAGGGAAGGATCATTACTATATACTTACAGTTTTAAATTTACATTAATATGAAGTTTTGTCAATTTTTAAGTAATACATTCATTGAGATATTTTCAATGTCTTTATTGATACCATTCAGGAAAAAAAAAATCACTGTATTCTCTTACCTGATAAAACCTTTTGGCTCCATCCATAGCTTGTGGGTAGGCTCTACGACATTCCTCAATTGAATAACAGAAGTCAGATCTGCGTTCCTCTCCAGATAAAAATTCTATCTTATACGGCATATCTCTTAAAAACCCAGATTCAACTGCAGCAAGGAAATTCATAGCAATCACATAGAAATTAATACCTGCAGTGTAACAGAGAAGAAAGTTGTCTGGAATAACCAACTATCTAATAAAAGAAGAGTTAGGTAAAAAGCTCAAGTCACTGAATATATATATAAATTTAGTTTATCTTTCAAGTAATATTGTCAAATGTACTGGCTCTAGGTTATGTCTAAGGGTAGAAAAACTTGGAGTTAATCACAGTCTGGAAATTCTCCACATTAGGGGCACAGTCTGGTTGCAGATAGCTGTACATAAATGAACTTCATGCAACTGAATTCCAAGTGATCAATGTTCTGTACTTATTACTCTTCAAGTAGGAAACAGATCACAAGGTTTGCCTGAGAAAGCAATTGACAATTTGGTGTACATGTACACAGTGCTCGGTATGTGACTTAGGAAACAGCCTAAATCAAGAAGTTCAGCATGAACTATCCTTTCAATTCTTGCAGATCTTCATGTTTCTGACTCCCTTCTCCATAAATCCCCACTGCATTTCTTTAACTTTAGATTTAGTATTTTTCTTCAGCTTCTTGGTGCTAACTCCTCTTAGTCAAGTGCTCAGATTCTAAGTAGCTGTGTATATTCTGTCTTTGGACTGTTCATCTACTTCCCAATGACTGTGCTCATCTTGTCTGAGAGAACCTGAAAGCTCTAGACCTTGTCACTCCTAGGTTCAATCCCACAGGCTGGTTTTCTGGGATCCCAGGCCTAGTTCCAGGATTTCTGACAATGAAACGCATCCTCCCATCTTTCTGCTTAACTAACAGAGAAGCATTTTGATTGCCCATCCTGCTGTCAGGAAAGCTAGGATACCTAATGACACAAAACGTGAGAGCAAAGACAGAAATTTCATCAAACATTCTTCAGTCTTAGATGTCAAGTCATTTTCTCACTGTTTAATATCTGGTACACTAGGTGACCTCCTCACTCCACTTGTTTGTACCTTTAATCTGAATGCTTAAAATTGAGTGAAATATTGCCAATACAGTTTACTGTGAGCTGTCTGTTAGAAACTATTAAGCCTCTGAGATGTGATATAAACATTAGGTCACTGAGGCCCAAAATTCTCACACCTGATAAAACTTGGCACAGATGATCGAAAGGTTAGTGGAAGGTCCATTGCTTGGGAAAGCCCCTCACCTGGACATTCCAGATTGCTGAGACGTGACACTGTAGAAAAGGGACTTTACCAACCAGCCCTTCTGCAACAGGACCCTTCCCAAAAAGCAACAAAAAAGCTGCCACCCATTGCTAGTGGGGCTGAACACTCACTTTCAGCCTCTCTGCCCACTCTCTGGGTGGCTTACAATCCTGTCCCAAACTGCTTCCATGGTGCATATTTTTTAAGCCCGAAAACCAGGAAACCTAACATGGTCTATAGTGTGCCTAAAAGAATTTTGTTCATTACAATATGATCTATTTTTTTTTTAACTTTTATTTAATGAATATAAATTTCCAAAGTACGATTTATGGATTACAATGGCTTCCCCCACATACTGTCCCTCCCACCCACTACCCTCCCCTTTCCCACTCCCTCTCCCCTTCCATTCACATCAAGATTCATTTTCGATTATCTTAATATACAGAAGATCAGCTTAGTATACATTAAGTACGGATTTCAACAGTTTGCTCCCACACAGAAACATAAAGTGAAAAATAATAGATGATGTTTTTTAAATGATGATGAAATCAGATCAGACCTATTGTCATGTTTAATCCCAGTGAGAGTCAAGTTGGGAGTTGATAATTTTTTTTTTTTTTTTTTTTTTTACAGAGGATCAGTTTAGTATGCATTAAGTAAAGATTTCAACAGTTTGCACCCCCATAGAAACACAAAGTGAAATATATTGTTTGAGTACTCATTATAGCATTAAATCTCAATACACAGCACATTAAGGACAGAGATCCTACATGAGGAGTAAGTGCACAGTGACTCCTGTTGTTGACTTTACCAATTGACACTCCTGTCTATGGCATCAGTAGTCCCCCTATGCTCCAGTCATTAGTTTCCAAGGCTATGGAAGCCCTCTGAGTTCTCCGATTCTTATCTTGTTTAGACAAGGTCATAGTCAAAGTGGAGGTTCTCTCCTCCCTTCAGAGAAAGGTACCTCCTTCTTTGAAGACCTGTTCTTTCCACTGGGATCTCACTCGCAGAGATCTTTTGCCAGAGTGTCTTGGCTTTCCATGCCTGAAATACTCTCATGGGCTTTTCAGCCAGATCCGAATGCCTTTAGGGCTGATTCTGAGGCCAGAGTGCTATTTAGGACATCTGCCATTCTATGAGTCTGCTGAGTATCTCACTTCCCATGATGGATCACTCTCCCCTTTATTTGATCTATTTTTAATATACATTTTTTTAAAAAAATTTCACTTCTAATGGGTTTATATATATGAATAAATCTTTGAGAATCAGCAAATACATTATAAAGAATGCAATAAATTACATAAATTTTGCAGTGAATGTGTCTGTGTGTTTTAGTGGCAGGTTTAGAAAGGCAATCTATAATTGATCAATAAACTGATTTAGGGGCAGTGAATTTGGTGTGCTGGTTAAGATGCTGCTTGGGGGCCAGGGTTGAGGCGTAGTGAGTGAAGCCACTATGTGTGATGCCAGCAGCCTGTATGAGTGCCAGTGAGTCCTGCCACTCCACTTCTGATCCACATCCCTGCTGATAGCCCAAGAAAAGCAGCATAAGATGGCCAAAACTTGAGGTACTGTCACCCATATTGGAAATCCCAGTGAAGCTCCTGCCTCGTGGCTTTAGCGAGGCTCAACCCTTGTTGTCACTTCCATCCAAGGAGTGGACCAGTGGATGGATTGCTTCTCTACCTCTCTCTCTCTCTCTCTCTCTCTCTCTTTCTCTCAATCACCCTCTCCCTCACCTTCTCCCTTTCTCTCTTACTTCCTCTCTATAATTTTTAACTTTCCAATAAATAAATCTTTTTTAAAAAGTGCTGCTTTGAATAACTGCATCCCACATCAGAGTGCTTGGTTTGAGACCTGGCTTTGCCTCTGATCCAGCTTCCTGCTAATACAAAACCTGTAACAGCAGCAGATGACAGCTTAAGTACGTAGGTCCTTGCTACCCACTTGGGACACTTGGATTGAGTTCCTAGCTCTTGCCTTTGTCATGAACTAATTCTACTATTGCAGGCATTTGGGAAGCGAACCAGTTAATTGAAGATGTTTCTTTCTTTCTTCACCTCTCTGCCTTTCAAATAAAGTGAAAATAAATTTTAAAAAAATTAAGACATGAAAAGCTATTTTAAAAATAGAAGGAGGAGAGTTTAGATTGTATTACTACTTGGTGAAAAGGGGAAATTACTCAAACTCTATCAGTTTCTGTAAGATTATCGTGTAGGTACTAATATTAATTCTTGGGTAGGGACTGAATTAAGCACGTCTCTGAAGAGCTTAATCTATTTACGTGAAATAAATGTGGAATAAATGTTAAATGTTTGGGAAACAGGCTGAAAATATGTATAATCAACAACAGAAACTCTGAAATGATAGATAAAAAAGTACAATATTTTCCTTTAAAATCTAACTAAAAATAATAATGCTTCATAAATTACTATTTGCAAATGGTCATCATGAGAGTTTACCTGTTTCAAGTTGGTTGCATAAATTCATTAGTTCCTTGGAAATTGCACAGAAAATTGTATATCTCTAAAAAGCAAATTTCAACGTTTACCTCAACTTAGCCTACCCCATAAAAAAGCAGAGCAAGCCACATGGCCACAGACCAGGAAAGAAACACGAGGCAAATGTGACACTTACCTCCCCAGCCACTGCTGCTGGATATGCAGCCACCACCAAAAGCGCAGACTGAGCTGTTCGAAGGGTCTGAGAACCGATCTGCAAAGCAAAGAGAGTAGCTAAGGATCCCCACCATAGAAATTCAAACTTACAGTAGAAAATCATGAGAAAGAGGGGAAAAGATACACATGGCCCACTCCAGAAATTAGGAAAGGAATTATAATTCTTTCTCATAATGAATAATAATAAAGAATAATAATAAATGATAAATCTTTCTCATAATAAATGATAGTCTGAACTATACCACAAAATGCCAATCTTGTCAACTTTAACCAGCAGCCAGTCCCAGGGAAAACAGTAGAGCAAGCATTTAAATTTTATTACTCCCTTCCCTACAATATGCCTCCTATATTATGAAAAAGATAGCCCATGTTTGTGTTGGGAGATTATTGTTAATGTATCAATATTACTCAAAGTTATCTATAGATTTAATTAACTCTCCAAACACTCCTAAAAGTACTTCTAGCAGAAATAGAATAGAAATAGAAATAGCATGTGGTCCATTAATAGCTTTCCATGTGCTGGCCAGCTCTTGGAGAGTCGAAGCTTCTCAGAAACACCAGTCTGTAAAGCTCACGCATTGAGTAAGTAGGATCAGCAAAGCATCTCCTGTCACAGACAGCCTCTGTTACTTACTTGATCTTTCTCCCCTATGCAGAGTGACTTGAAAATTTAAAATGTACAAGAAGTAATTTGAAGTTTCAATGTATTGCATCCTATACTGCTATTCTTCATTCAACTGTGTTTCTTGGGCATCTAGTTTCTTACAAAGAACACAAATTTGGGGGACAAAACAAGAAAATAGGAAGATACTTCAAATAAAAAACTTGGTTCAAGAACCAGGCAGAATAGTGGAATTCCCCTAAACATACAATGAAAAGAGATGATGTTCAGAAAAACACAAAATTCCAACTGAAGCATCACATCTCCATTGGTTTCATTCTACCTACTTTGGTTCATACAGAGTGATCTAGTTACTAAGCCTAAGACTGTGTTCATTTCTTCTGACTGAAGCTAACAAGTAACACAAAGTGTAACTTACGTTGAGTGTCATGTCTTACGTTGACTAGCATTATATGAGGCAAAGCCCAGAATTTTAGGGACGGTATGTTCTTAACCTTATCTAGTACCAAATTTCTCCCTGAGCTTCAGAATTAAAAGAAGACTTTGTCATATTTTTTATAATAAATCCACCTGGTCTACAAAATAATATTACTTACAGAAAAGAGTATTTGCACCATTAGAAGTTCTGAGTACTGGAAAATAAATGATTGTATTGATTCTGCATTTCATAAACATTCAGACAGGAACATCTGAACACATTAGTTAGGCATTTTCAGTGCTCTGAGTAACAGAGAAGGGAAAAGCTGCTTCCTTGGGAATAATTAAGATGTACATACCTGTCTTATACAGTCTTCCATAAAATATGGTTAGTGCCCACAGCACGTTTTCTGAATTGTTTTTTCCAAACTGAGCAAAATATTTGTCTGATTCTCTCATAAGAATCTTATACATTTTCAGGCGATCAATATACTTCCAGATATCAATGATTATTTTGTTGTTCTGTACTGGAAATTCTGTTATGCTCCCACTAATCTGGTCCCAAAGAAAGGGGACATCTGTGGTGGACACCGGATCTTTGGCACAACCAACAGAAAAGAGGCTTAGGAAAAGAAAAGTGGGGATCATCAAAGCAGCCCACATCCTCTCACTCATTTGTGCTTAGCCGAAGTCTCCAACTGAAGCAAAACATCCAAGGAAGCCCAATGATCCCTCTTTTAAGTTATCCCTCCTTTAAATTAGAATGACAGATCTCTAAGCAGATAGTACCTAAGGGAAGATCACATGGGTAGATAATTAGAAACAGATAAGGAAGGGCAACTGTCAAACTTAGTCATTAAAATGACTTAGGCCATTTCCAACTGCTTCTCAAATAAATAGTTAGGTCAGACAATTTATTGCAGGTAGTCAAATGGCCAATTATTTCCTTTGGTTCCAAATACCTAAGCATTGTCAGTTCTTCTAAACAATGTTTTACCTATTCATTTAACTGAAATGAATTCTTTCATTTGAAAAAATTATATCCCTCTGGCAAAGAAAAGTAAAAAAGAAAGAAAAGAGGAGAAAAGAGAGGGAAAGAAAACCACATTATTCCTGGAACAGATTAATAGAAGAAACAAAACTCATTCCTGTGTTTTTACAAGGCACTTCTTTTGGTGTTAGTAGTAAGGAAGAAAGAATTAGAAATAAATTGGAAATATGCTACTTTGTCATTCAGAAAATTTAGATTAGATGTTAAATAAGAAAAGTTTTACTGTTTTGAGTGTTGGACATTTTTGTATCCATAGGTAAGAATACAATGTATAAATATGCATGTGTGTGATTTTAAGGGGATGGAATTAAGTTCAAATTTTAAATTTATATGTGTATATACATGCTTTAACTACTCCTTTACTTGTGATTGCTTCTAGAACTTATAAAATTATTATTTAATATAATTTTATAATAATTCTATGACATACAATGTCATAGATACTGTTTCTGTTATTCATATACTGTCAAGTTTTGAAATGGTGATCTTTCGACAGTAAATGAGTACGAATCATTTGAATAAAGCAACTCAGGGGAAAGGTCGTAAAGAAATCTCAAACAACATGAGTGATACAAAGGTTCTATCAACCCATACTACCTTCCTGACACAGAACCAGAGCCCACTGGGAAAAGGCACCCTTGGTAGTACAAGTGCAAAAACACAGGGAGTGCCTTTAAAATACTTGGGCCATCTGATGAAAACCAAGCTTAGGAAAGGAACCACGCTACCTGTTTTCTGTGTAGTAGAACATTGTGAAAATACCATTGAATATGACTGTAAGGAGGAGCGTGTGGAAGTTGTGGTGGTGATAAAGCATATGGTTTTCAATCAGCTGACAGAAATGGCTTTGCTGTCACTCTGTTGTTCACACAGCAGTGCTACCCAGGCCAAATATTGACGTGGGTTGAAAAAGTGGAGTCCAGTTCCACTGTCTTTTGTGACAGATGCCCCTGTGCTATGGAAGCAGACAGGAGTCAAAATGTGTCCCTTGTGGTCTCGCTGATAATTAAGTTACACAGTTGCCCCAAGCTAAAAGACTTGGCCTTCCAAACAATGATTGCTCACCACAGTGGGGTGTGCAATCTGAAGGACTTACTGAAAGATATGAATCAGAGCTCACTGGCCAAGCAGTGCCTGTCAATTTCACAGAGTATGGTTTCTTCCATTGTGCACAGCAGGTGGTATACAAATGTCTCAGCAAAATGTCAAGAACTTGGAAGGTGGTACAAACATTGCAAGAGCAAAAAAGATATGATCTGTGGGGAGCAAACCGGACTAGACTGAGTTACTGGAATTAAGACTTATTCTATGCATCTGCTCTCCCACAATATGGCGCTGGGAGAGAAGTAAACAGCTTCCGCACAGCTGCCTCCAGTTCAGCTAATAAACTGTAGGACTTGCTCCTGATTGGAGGAGAGCAGCGTACTCGGCGTGTGGGCAGCCGAGTTAGGATTGGCGGAGGAGGTCTATAAAGGAGGAGAGAGACGGCATGCACCAGGAACATCTATGAGGAACATCTAAGGGGAACATGTAGCTGAAGGAACACCTGTGCAGCCCCCGAGAGAACCGGCCGGCGGTGTGCCGCTCCCCTGCGGAAGTGGGGAATGTGGCCAGGGGGAACTGCCCTTCCACGGAGGTGGAAGGGATAGTAGCCAACCCGGGAAGAACCAGCAGCAAACCCGGGGAGGGCCGAGCAGACAAAAGAACAGCGCAGGTTCCTGTGTCGTTCCTCCACGAAGAGGGGGAGCGACATGATCATTGAAATGAGTAGTTGAACTATCCCACAAAATGCCAATCATGTCAACTTTGTCCAGCAGCCAGTCCCAGGGAAAACAGTAGAGCAAGCATTTAAATTTTATTACTCCCTTCCCTACAATATGCCTCCTCTATTATGAGAAAGATAGCCCATGTTTGTGTTGGGAGATCATTGTTAATGTATCAATACTATTCAAAGTTATCTATAGATTTAATTAACTCTCCAAACACTCCTAAAAGTATTTATAGCAGAAATAGAAAAAAAAAGTCCCTCCCAGCATGCCTATGAAATATCAAGGGACCCCAAATAAGCAAAACAATCTTGGAAAAGAACAAGGTAGGTGGCATCACAATCCCAATTGCAAAACTTACTACAAAGCTATAGTGATCAAAATGGTGTGATATTGTTATAAAGATCGACATGTAGATTAACTTGATAGGATAGAAAGAAAGCTAAGAAATAAACTCTCACATACATAGTCAGTTAAATGAACTTCAACTGGCATGCCAAGGTGATTCAATGGGGAAAGAACATTCTTTCCATAAATTGGTAGTATATGACATTCAAAAGAATGAGGGTGGAACTTTACCTTACACTATATACCAAAGGTAACTCAAAATAGAACAACAAGCAAAAAGTAGAAGCTAAGCCTATAGAATGGTTAGAAGAAAAAAAATAGGTAAATCTTCCAGGTCATTGGATTTGGCAGTCATTTCTGGGTTATTGTAAGCTATTTCTATTCATAAGGCTTCAGATATAAAATGTGTAAGCTTTTTTATTGTCACAAAAATTCCTCCAACTCAGGGCCAGTGCTGTGGTGTGGCAGGTAAAGCTGCCGCCTGCAGTGCTACCATCCATATGGGCACTGATTTGAGATCTGGCTGCTCTGTTGCTGATCCCACTCTCTGCTATGGCCTGGTAAAGCAGTAGAAGACAGCCCAAGTGCTAGGGCCCTGCACCCACGTGGAAGACCAGAAAGAGCTCCTGGCTCCTGGCTTTGGATCAGCCCAGCTCAGGCCATTGCAGCCATTTGAGAAATGAACCAGCAGATGGGAGATTCTCTCTCTCCCCCCACCTCTTTCTCTCCCTCTCTCTCTCTCTCCCTCTCTTGCTCTGTGACTCTGTCTCTGCCTCTCTCTAACGCTGCCTTGAAATAAATAAGTAAATCTTTAAAATACATTCCTCCAACTCTGCAGACACCTGCTGGTTGTCTTACAGTTCAATCTATCAGACCCCCAGGGGACTGATATTGCTTTGACTTGACTACAAAGAAGGAGGATTCTTAAAACCCCCTATTCCTTTGAGGCTTGAGAATATGCTAGAAGAGCTCACAGAACTCTGGATGACACCTAGCATAAAAATATGTCAAACTTCAAAAGTAAGAAACAGAAAGCAAGAAAATGAAGTACGGTAGTTTCATTCATTAATTAGGCATGTATTATAGAGAACGTGATATGTTGTGAGAGCAAAGATGTGACATTCTCACTTGAGTGTTAGACTGAATTGCTACAGTAGCTTTGGAAGTATCCTGATAATATATTATTTACTCATTATATATAATATATAAATACACTTTTAAACTGACTTCTTACTCTTATTCAGCAATCCTAAAGACGCATCTGAACATCATGTATAAAGAAAGCTATATGAAAGAGAACTCTTGTTGCATAATTTTGGTAAAGCAAGAAGAGAACCTAACTTTATTGAAAAATCACTAATATGGAATTGATATATCACATTATGCCACATAGGACTTTTATAAAAAATAATGAGCCAAGAGGTATAATATTTTACATAGGAAAATCTATCAATATAAATTCTTCAATATAATACTGTTTAACAACTAAACAATCTATTTGCTTTTTGTAGAACCAGAAACTTATGAAAAGATAAATAAAATTGTTACTCATGGTCACATCTAGTGGTGATATCATGGTGAAGTCAGAGGAGAGATAATCTTTTCTTTATGCCTCTCTTCAGTATTTATTTGTTTTGTTAAAATTAGATAACTCCTAAAAGGAAAAATAAAAATATTGTCTGATGTGTCTACAAAACGTTCCATAAAAGAAAACTCCATGAAACCACTTTCTAGCCTGGCTACACACTGCATGTTCAGGTAAGTCGGTTTATCAGGTTTTTTGTTTTGTTTTGTAGTTTCCTGCTTATTTAATGAGGACTTGAATCAAGGGGTCCCCCATTTTTTTCTAACTCTTAATGTTTATTTCCAAATTATCCTATAATCCTGAATAGTGAAACTATTTCACTAGTTTTTGTCAGACTGGTATTAAGAGATACATTTTCAAATGTGTACTGATAATGATGTAAAAAGAAAATATATATTATCTCCCATTTTATCTAATGGTAACACTAAATAGAGTTCCGTTTCTTCAAGAATGACAGTAACAAGCATTAAATGATTCTAAAATAGAACCTCAGAGTTGTAGACTTTGCTATTTCCAGTGTAACTTTTTGATAGTCAGACTTCTGAGTTCTATCCCTGCTTATTTGCTAGTGTGTTCATTTTAACTTAAAAAAGTACCAACTCATCATAAAATTTCTATAAGGAACAAAACACACAAGCTTAGCATATCCAGCATTAGTATTCCATTAAACATTAAAGCAGCTTAGTGTAAAGTGAGATGAAATGTACAATAACTATGGTAGCTAGTCTCACATAATAAACAGTTTTTCCACATTTTGTATGACTTGCAAAAGACCTCTTGGACATTCATGAAATTTGAAACCTATTTACACTTACTTGAGTCTAGAAAAAAACTTTGTTTTAATTATACAAAATATTTTTCACCTTAAATAC